TTTGAAAAAACAAAAGAAATTGATAAAAACTTCAAAAATTTAAATCCTTCGAGATGTAGTTATGTTACTACATCTACTAGTTAGGAAAATTAAAAAACATAAAACGACTATATCTTTTGCATACGATGTAAAAAAAATGTGTAATATATCAAAATGTTCAGGATGAAAATCCGCATCCGATTTTGACGGCCGTAGGCCATTTTGCAAATTTTTAGAATCCTCAAATTCTAAAAGAAAAAAAGATATGCTCAAATTTCAGTTTTTTGAATTTTGATCAAACTATGGTCAAATTACTTATTCAAGAAATATTAGTGTTACTAAATAATTATTCAAGAATATTAGTGTTACTAAATAATTATTTCAGTTTTTTAAATTTTGGTCAAGTTTGGTCAAACGGTGGTCAAACTATGGTCAAACTACTTATTTAAGAAATATTAGTGTTACTAAATAATTATTGGTTTTAAGAATAATAGTTTCAAACTCAAATGGTGTAACGTGTAACTTCATGCTCAACTTCAACTCCTAAGGGTTAATAGGATCGACAGCTTATTATTGTCAGGAAAACAACAAATGTAGACTTGGAAACAAAGGGGAATAGAACTCGATGATTAGAGATTAAATACAAATAATTTAGAAATTTGAAAATCGAGAAAAAAATTCAAAAAAAAATTCCAGAAAAATTCAAAAAAAATTCAAAAAACACCAACCGGGACTAAAGGTCGAGCTCCAGACAGCGGTCACGTGGATGGCCTTTAGTCCCGGTTCGTAACACAATCGGTACTAAGGGGGGGGGGGGCTTTAGTCCCGGTACCAGAACCGGGACTAAAGGCCCGTTTTCTACTAGTGGGCATATGGTTGCCAACATGCAATTTTCACTATAATTTCAGCTTAAGCTTGTAGAATTGCGACATTATGTAAATTCTTATAATTACTTTATGCGTATTTCTAATTAGCTGTATAGAAAAATCTAAGTTTCAAAAGGCAATGTTTTTCTTGTTGATACCATCATCAAACTAACAACACTTCTATCTTTTTTAGCTCTAGTGATCTACTTCAAAGCCCACAAATAAATTAGCCTGCATGGCATCACAATCTGTTTTGTAACTCAGACTAATGTGTTCTTTTTAATAGCCATTGCACGGTTTAGAACTTTATTTTGAGTACACATGGCCTAATGTCGCAATAGTAACTTTTCAGTACTATATTGACATAGATTTAGTTTTGTGGATATTTTAAGCAAGGCAAAAGATTTTCCATTCCATTAATTAAGAAGATACTCACTCGGTTATTTAGCGGAAAACTAGACGAAAACCAATACAACGCCCATACGGCCTAGTTCGCCGAGCCGACACACACACACACACACACACACACGCACATTGTTGAGAACAAAACATCATCAAGGTAGCACATTGCCATCATCGTCATCATTTCTCCTCAAGCAAACAACTCTGACTCCAGCACAAACAACCATCGACAAAGCCCACACGGCAATGAATGGTAGTATATGTTACTATCTTCACAATGAATGGTAGTATCTAAACCTGGTGACACACTTGTGATTTCTGATTAAGGCCTCCTTTGGTTTGAAGGAATTTCATAGGAATTCTAGAGGATAGGATTCTTATAGGATTTCTTCCTTTAGAGCCCTTTCGTTCATAGGAATGGATTCCTATTCCTACATAGGATTGGTTTCTATCCTCCACATTTCATAGAAAAATAAAAATGAGCCTAGATTTAATGGAAAAATTCCTTTGATGTCAACCAAATGACATCTCGTTTCCTATTCCTACTCATAGGATTTGAGATACATGTCATCTCATTTCCTACAAAATTCCTATTCCTATGAACCAAAAGAGGCCTAAACTTTAATTTCATACTACTACTACCTCTCTCTCAGTTTACAGGGTGTGTGCGTATCCCTAGGTCGTCAATTTGACCAACCTAATATCGTCTCTCCCCCTCCCTCCCTTAAATACGTGGGAGGCCTAAGTAGTAAATGATCACGGATTCCATCTCTATGTGATGATTGATGCGCCACAAACCCACTTGTGCAACTTTATTTATTCTGCATGGAAGTCGTGTTTGTTTCTCATTGCATGGAGAAACGAAATGACGAAGATTTTCTTCTCATTGCATGGAAGTCGTGTTTGTTTTGCAGATAAACTCACTAACCTCAGATGAGCTGGTCCAGTTGGATCCCGCTGAGCTCTGCATGCCCCACTGGCCAAACAAGGAAATGAAGTTCATAGTAAATGTAGTCAACACTACAGATTTCTACGTTGCTTTCAATGTATATATCATCCGCAGGAATGCAGCGCGGGACAAGAGAACTGCAGCTGGAGCATCGAAAGTAATCCTGCCACCACGATCAACTGAAAGAAGAATACTACATTGGATAATTGATGAGACCGAGGAGCCTGTAGAAGATTTCTTTGTGTGGAGCCGTGTTGTGACTGAGGGTGTCGATAGCAGGGACATCACTGGTTACATGGTTGAGGAAGAGAGTAAGAAACTGCTCTTTATTGTTAATAATAAGGTGAGTATCTCAAAGGAGCTGATCCAGTTTGACCCACCAGAGCTGAGCCTCCCCTTGATGATGATGCCAAACAAGCCCTTGCTGTTTTCAGTTAATATAGTCAACAGTACAGACTACTATGTTGGTTTTGATAAATATAACCCGCAAACAAATGTGGCCTGGTACTACACAAAACCTGCGGGTGGAGTTATGCCACCACGGGCCACTCAAAGACTGGTAGTATTAAAGGGTACCGAAGAAAAAGGAGGAGCTGCTTAGTGAGTGCCAAGACGATAAGTTCCTTGTATGGAGCTGCTTAGTCAATGAAGGTGCCAAAGCCAGCGACCTTGCTGGTTGTGCTCAATACACAGTGGGTAGGGAGTTGCCAATTGTTTATACTAACAAGGTAATTAAGTTCCGTAATTATGCAATGAATGTGTTAAAAAATAATAATTTACTACCTTCAAAGCTCAACATTTGTCCTACTACGTGTTGGTTAACATTTCTTTATTACTCCCTCCATCCGAAAATACTTGTCATCAAAATGGATAAAAAGAGATGTATGTAGAACTAAAATATGTCTAGATACATCCCCTTTTATCTATTTTGGTGACAAGTTTTTCCGGACGGAGGGAGTACTTAGCATTGCAACATTTTTTGTCCTACTGCCTCCGTTTTGAAGTATATAAAAAAAACATTTTGACCTGTCTTATATTTTTGTCTTCATCCAAGATCCTCAGACTTGTTGAATTGAAACAGCTGAATTCCTTTTTTGCAGACAAGCAACTTATGCACCTCAGACGAGTTGATTCAGCTTGATCCTCCACAGCTCCCCTTCACCTTCGTTCCCAACATGAGGGTGTCCATGTTGCGCTTGCTTAAAATTGTCAATGTTACACATCACATTGTCGGTTTCAGCGCATGGCCTCATGAAGACAATTCTGCGTCCTACACAATCGAACCGGATGCAGGGATCCTGCAACCACACTCCATGCAAGCAATCAAGGTAAGAAGGACACCAAAGAAAAATGAAACGGAAGGCATACAGTGCAAAGACAAGATTTTTGTGTGGAATGGAATTGTGACTGAAGGTGTCCAAGTTAGTGATGTCGGTATATGCTGGAAGAATGACGATAAAGAGTTGCCCATTATTCTTACCAAGGTGAGTTTTCCAGTTAATTTGTCAGTCTTAAGTGTCGATTTACCCCTGTCAGTTCCAATAACAATAATCCCATTGGGAATCGCTAATGAGTTCAAATTTGAACTAAAACTTAGGTACAGATACAACTATTATGTCAGACAAGAATTTAAGTATAACTTAGGTACAAATACAACTACTATTACGCTAATTGATACAGCTAATAACTATGTTGACAGCCTGGAGAAAGCAGTTCAAGGTAGGATCGGGATGGTCAGCTAATCTCTTGGACGTAAAGGCTTGCGAAGGTAATTAATCTATGCTTATTTCTCACTACTACTTTTTTACTCGGATATAAACACATTCCTTGTGGCTTTGTAGTTTGAGCATTTTGTTAAAATTCTTGAACTGTGTTGCTAGTCTCCAAGCTGTATGGTTTTGGTTTGGTTTCCTTTTTGTAGCTCTGTGTGGTGTAAGTCGTCGGACATTGTTTTTGTGGGGTAATGGAAAATGGCGAAAAAAATACTATGTAAGACAGTTGCTTGTCCGCAATTATATATTTTAGATGCACAAATAAAAGGACACTGAAATGGTAATATCAATTTCAAGAATAGTAGTCTGTGCCAAAAAAGAATCAAAAATAGTTATCCATCGAAAAAAATGTACCCGGCCATGGCTCACTATCAGGCACCTGAACTTTACGCACACTTAGCGGCACTGGATATTTTTGATTGTTTTCTCCATTGATCTTTCCTCCAATAGATGCGGGGGAGTCAATTTACTGGTTTTCTTCTGCTTGTTGTAGCACAGCCACACCCACACCAGAACCATTTTCTGCAACTTCTCGCTGCCAACCATGTTATTGCTTTTCTGTAAAAGGCATATTTGGGAAAATATGAATCCCACATAGTTCGTATCTGGAAAAATGTCTAAGTAGAGCCTAAATTAACAGATGTTTTTTACAAAGTGTAGAAATATTAACCGGTCTTTAGTAAATTATTATAGGGAAGGGCTGGCAAAGCAATTGTGATTGACCTGTTTGTTGGCTTTTAGTTTATTTATCATTATATATATTTTTAATTTTTATTAGCTCAACTGTCGTATTTTTTTTTTTGAAA